TCTGGTCGGGGCAGTTATCGGACTTTATTACCGATCCGGAATATTTGTTGCAATTAAGATGGATCCGACCGATAAATAAAATTTAATCTTTCGATTAAGATAGCTTAATTGCCTTTTTTGAAAAAATAATAAATGCATACGTCACACTTTTCACGAAAAACAACAGGAAACTTCATATAGAGAATAATTATTTGATTAGTGGAGTAAACATCATTGTTTACAATTTTGGGCGGTCATTAGTTTACCTTAAGAGAGTATTGTGAGGGTTGTCGTGCTCGAGTGACAATGTAAACGGACGATTGTGCCCAGATGGTTAGAAACCATTTACTGATAGGTCTGTTTGTGAGCAATCCTGTTATTTCTGTCTGGACCCGGCACATACAAGACATCTGGTGCCAGATGTATACTTTCGATGATAGACCGTTTCCAATCTGGGTTTAGCCACAGAACGGAAATTTTTATCGTCGGATAGATAAGGAATATTCCTAAATCGGGTTAGGGAATACACGAAGTCGAACAGGTAGGAAATTTTTCTGACGTCCCTTAAATAGGTAGATGGCCTATCTATACCGTGACAGAAAAATAAATTGGTTTGGACGGCTCGAAAAATAGCCGAGTTTTGACATTGTATTCGTAATTCGAAATCTTTTCTAATATTGCAAAATATTTGTTTGTCGAAGCGAGGAATGTTGATTCGGTATGAACCGCATGCCAACCCATGTTCACCATAATACGAAAAGTAGCCAGGACGTCAAAAATTTCCGCATGTCTACGTCCGAGATAGAAGAAGAATATTTTATTCCAGAAGTATAGGCATGTCACGAAATCCAAAATTGATATTTTCAATTGCGACTCGATTCATGCCTCGTGGCCATTTCCGTTACTCCGTTTGCGATGTATCACGAAAAGTTTCATCCAGTCACCAATTACTTTTTTCAACATCAAACTTGGAACTTATTTTGGAAGAGTATGACGTCATATGTAAATAATAAGCCAGACTAGCAATCCCATCGCCTTTTATCGACCTCTTCTCTTAAGATAAACTTCGTATTGCGTGTTTTTTTGGACGGTTTTTATTGGAAGTTACTACTTTGGGGAATTACTATTGTTTCGAAAATTCGAATGAATTTGGCCAAAATCATCTGATTCTTTCGCTTTGGGAAATCTATCGTGTCTTTACCATCTACCAGTAAATATATCTAAATCGCTAGAGACTTGTTGCTCCAACCCTACGCAATACGTAGATTGCCAGTTCAATCAGTCGAAATGATCGTGTACCTTCAGGTAAAATAACATCTCGTGTAGCTCCTGATGATGCCAGTTTAGCATATTATGTCAACAGATACGGCGCAGCAAAAAATTGCAATCAATATTCGTTGATGATTGGCTCAATGCAAACAATATTTATATTTCTGATGGCCTTACTACTATATCCCGACATAAATAAAAAATAAATCTAATACAGGTTATCGAGGGAATATCTCTATAATTTTTAAGGAAATAATTAGTTTTCGGATTTATTTTTACTTTTTTTTATTAAACTCGAAGATTAAAGTAGCTTAATTTCCATTTCGACGATTCGTTTCTTTGTTAAACAGACCATCATTAGAAAGTTCTTCAGATCTAATTAGAATCTATACAAGCGGTAATCTTATTATAAAGTTCAAATAACTTATTATTCAGAATATCTGACAGAAACAGAGAAGAAGAGTCGTTATATAATCCAAGTATATGAACGTCTTTGGTCGACCAATTGAGGAAAACGAATGAGCTATATAAAACAATTTGCGGAAAAATAATGGGAAGATAAAAAAAAGGCTTTCGTCCTTAAATGAGATCAGTTTTTGGCAGAATCGTCAATCGATTTTAATCAAGAACAACAACAAGAAAAGTGAACTTAATTTAGAAATTCCTTATCTTCGTCGATGTGGCATAGAAAAACTAGCGAGGTGTTTAAGAAAGGAGTAGAATCTTTTGTGGCAGTTTCCAAGTTTTCTTCGATAGTTTTTTCGACTACGTCGGCGAATTAATATACTTGAAGAGTTATAGAGTTATTGAATATGTATAATTTCTTACTTTTTTTCTTATCAATGTAGAGAATTACAGAAACATCGGTTTCTACCATACCACATTTAGTTCACGGGGTGAAAGGGAAAAAAAGCATCTTTAAATGTGTGCTTATAATTACTTTTCAAATGAATATGTAATGAAATCACTTCTTTCTGAACTACATTGATGTTTAATACATTCGATGAAACAACCAGCAGAAGCGAATTAAACACAATCAATCCCGGAAAAGAGCCTTAATTTTAATTTCTAGTGCGCTTTTAATATCATTAACGTTATCGAAACGAATCTATTAGTTTTTAATTGATAGATAATTCGATTATCGAAACTCTTAATTCTAAATTATTTTCTCCCTAATCGATTAATGAAACAATTTTAAATTACCCGATATACGTAACTAATAATAACAGTAATTTAGCTAAGATCTCCTTTTTTCGGGATATTTTTTGTGCTATTTATCGTCGGAATAGTCTATTAATTAATGGAGAAAACTATCGATTACACACAGTAAAGAATAAATAAATTAAAGGGCGCTTCGGGTCTCGTCATTACTATTATATTAATTGATGTTTATAAATATCGAAACGTCATAAATAAATGAAAATTCTAATTGACGTATTAAGTTAAAAAACGTTTTCAGATAATCATTTTGGTTGGTCAATAACCGTAGCTCACCGAAAGAAACTTTTTACATAAAAATAGGATCAAATAACACTATAGATAATTAACTTTGCAAAACTTATAATTATTTTAATAAAAAAAAAACCAAAAATGGAAGAGCTTCTTTATAAAGTGTAGGATATTTTCTTACGTCAGATAATTGATAAAATGCCAACAAGTAAAAATAAAGTTGATAAGATCGAAGGAAAAATGCGGAAAATAACGCTAAAAGTTGTTATTTAATTAAGCGTAATTTTATCTGAATTTTTAAACTGAAAAATATAGGTTAATTTGCGTTTTTTATCCACCGATTTACTCTGGTTTTAGGTGGCAATATGCGTAAACGTCTCAATCAATCAAGGAAACGAGATGTGCAGGATATCGATTGGAAAACACCAATCACCAGCAGAAGTCGAAGATAAGCTAACCAATAAGCTTCTTATAATTCATAGCGCCAACTAAGTCTGTAAATCCAAAGAACGGAACCTTTCACGTTATTATTTAAACTATCCAACCATGCGTTTAAAAAGATTAACAGGAGAAATTAAGGAATTATAGCATTCGTTACTGCAGCTGAAAATGCTCTGTCGTTTCTTAAAATAAACAGATGCGATTTTAATATATAAAACATTCAGTAATTATCCCAAAAGTAATAAAAATGAAGACAAATCCTGATTAATGACCGTTCAATAACGAACTTTCGATCTGGTAAGACCAGATTACAGATTAAAGAACAGATAGAGCAACAACACAATACTTCTCGGATCCTTTCGTAATCTGGTTGTGGCCCACGCCCCACGAGTGTAGTGGTCACCGTCTCCACCCATCAAATAGACTTTGTAGGACGTAATATAGATGTAAATATACTCTCGAGAGGCACATTATTTCAATATATTGGACTGTACCCAGAAGATTCGACTATTTCTGAATACATTTTGCAAGAAGCGCGATTCGAAGATGGAATAATAAATTTCGACTCTATTCGATTTCCTCGATTACAAATTAATCTCTAAATGTCGTTTATAAGTATCGAAATTTTGTGAAAAATAAAAATAACTTTCATAAAAAAAACACACGCAACAAAACTAAAAGAATGATACAAGAACAAGAAAATATATATATTTTCAATTTAAGTGAATTGATTCCTTTAAGAAATGGCAACAAATAAAACTTAAGAAATGTTACAGATGTTGGATTCACTTTACAAAGAAACTGCTGAATGTAGTTGGATGTTTTCAGCTTGACATTTGTTTGGAAGAAAGAATGACTCTGGAGTGATTTATTTAACTTCTAGCAGTCGACTACGCGTTGTGGATTATAAAGTTTTATTCCTTTAAAAAAAAGAAAAAAATCTCCAAAACATTGTAGAATCTCATAGCCTCCAAGAGTATCAATGGACTATAAAGATTAGTGGCGAGTTTCGTTTGATCGCGAGTATTACGAAAGCAATTTTGAACACAGCCTGCGACGGACTAAGTCGGAACGTTTTAATGACGTTATTCCACCCAAATAATGAGAAAATATTACGAGTGATGGATATAAATTAATCTCTTTGTTCGTTATCTATGATTGTTTAAGGGAAGTTCATCCATTTTTCCTGCATCAACGAAATTAAGCGTAAATTATTCCGTTAATACAGACAAAGCTGTTTAAAAGAATTTTGAAAAATTCTCTATTAATAATGTTCGTTTTAAGCGCGAAATGAATATCCAAGAGAAGATTAAACCGATGTTTGGAAACTATTTCTTCTATTTTTGATAAACAATACGAATCGACTTTTAAAATCTATAAAGTCGCCAATTCTTTACAGTCATTGGCCATATCTCACAATCACTATCAATCGATTATACGTAAGAAAGAAAGTCGAGTTCGTCGTAAAAATCTTTGGGGACATTAAGTTCCGTAAGGCAATAAGTCGTCCCCAATATCCTCTCTGTTGATATAAGAGTTGACAGAAGCGAGTCCAATATTATAGTGTCTCTTGTCTAATTGAATGAAGGGAAGACCAGCCAAAGTACACTGTAAAACGCTCCAGAGTACGACAATTACTCGATCCTTTATAACCGTCGTCTAGGAAGTCCAACTATCCCTAATCGGTAAGGAACGTCGTCAATAAAGTCCTAAAGCATTTCTCCATTGTTGGATTGTTGGATTACACGATGGATGTTGTACTTTTATTTACAAACTCGTCCCAAGAAAATATTACTATTGGTGGCACGTAATTCCATTCATAACTTGGAATTTTAACTTAGAATATAAAAGAAATTACTTACCCCCTCTATTCTCACTGTCGGCCGGTTTCACCTGTATTGGACGGTTCATCTAAAAATATATAATAAAATTATTATAAATCCTTTTCTATTAAAATGATATTATCTACATTATAAAACATAAAGTTTAAATTTAAGACAGTCTACGGAACGATTGTTTTGGTTAGTATTTTGGAGTAGTCGATTTTAGAAACATAGAAAATACGATACAGAGCCAGTGTGGAGATCAAATGGACATCTAAGCACATTATCCAGCGGCGTTGTAGTGCTTGGGAGCCACCAAATCACATTGTGCATCGATACATGCTTCCGCAAGAGGCTGTTAACCTACACATGTATATTGTATTAGCGAATAACTTCAGCTCCAACAGCGTTAACTGCCTGTAAAATAGCATCACGCCTATCGTATCCGAAAGCCGGCGGCCGTTAGGTAGCGGGATCCGACACATTGGATGCAATTAATTGGCGTTCATTTTTCTGTCGGGTCGGTTCGGCACCATTGAAAGTGAGAGCTAACGTCTTTTTCCATCACCTGGTGAGAATGATGAAGTCGTCCATTCGTTGCTCCTCGAATATGTTCCTTTTCTAGAATATATTCATTGGTCCGTGAACTGCATCGCCACTTGATGAAAGAGACGCCCAGGATACCAAACGACGAGAAGTAGATGGGGTGGTCGATGATTTATCGGCCAACTTCCAAAATCCACTTAGCTCCGACCAATGACGTCATAAGCGATATAGTAGGGTAATAATTCCCTCATCTCCCATCAACTAACGTCTGTTGTCATTAATATACTGTCTTTGTAGGGCGTGAAATAGAACCGTCACGCTTATAAGATATAAATATAGAGCCGTTTTCTTCTTCGTACTCCACCCTTAAAGAACAGGTGCTTCTGGTATGCCACAGGTGAACATTTTTAAATTTAAACCCGGGCGTGTTTTTTATACCGAAAGAAATCAATCGAAATTTGTTGTCCCGACGTAACTGATCGATCACAGAATGCAGTCTGTGTATTATATCTGATGTCATTAATAACAAACTTGTGTTATCGGTTTTTTGCTCCAGAAATTGTCGTGTTACGGAGGAAAGATGGACTCGAAATTTCTATTGTGTACGGAGATAGTTTATGATATTCCCTAACAACGTCAAAGTACAGATTAATCAGTTCTGACACTTTTATTTTTATCTCATTATCCGTACTCTTAGCGTTAACGGTGATAGACGTCTTTTTACGACGAATTCAGATAAATGAATTTTAAAAGGTAAGATAATTACATTTCTAACAAGGCTAGACAAAGTGTGCTTCCAATGTTTTCAGACAGCTCCGGCAATTATGAATAATAATTCATTGTTAAGCAATTCATAATTCTCGGCATGAATGATAATCTTGACCCGAAATTCTATTTTTAAAATAACTAACTGCTAGAAACTACAATTTATTTTTCGAACTAAATCGAATTCTTTGCCTTTAGACTTTGTCTTATCATTTTTATAAATTAAGTATGTATATCTGGCGATATTTCACGTTTTATTGTTCGTAGCACTTTGATATATATTTTCAAAACATAAACATTAGGTTACATAAAAATAATTCCGAGCCGTAGTTCTTTGCATAAAGAAGTTATTCATTAGTCAAAGAAATTTTTTTAATGCAATAATTAAAAACTTGGGTCATTATTCAGATAAGTAGCGAGAGAAAAAATGGTAGCTTTTACATCGGAGGCGATGAATCAACTTCTGTTTCTAGATTCTTGAGGTTTAACGAACTGGACATGAATTCTTGTCTGCATAAAATCAAACGTATCCAATCATTAACTACATTGCTAGCATACCGTCAGAGACAATTTTTTTAAAAGTAAAGCGAAGTAAAATAAACACCACGTCTCCACACCATTCTGTATTTGTAAGATAATTGCTTCTTCGAATACTAATGATGTCCCGCATCCAATTTGTAATGCCAAACAAGACAGTGAAGCCTCAACAAACAAAGACCGAGATAATACCCTCATGTTGACTCACATCTTCCGTAACCGTCCTGCTAAAGAGAATTTCACGCGGCCTTTCGTTTCGTTTATACTAAGTTTTTCCGAAATGGTTCGTTTCATCCCATACCTCCAACTTCAAAGACTATTTACACGTATATAAAATACATAGGAACATCGAGTTCGTTTTATACACTAATATTTCAAAGAAATAGCCACTTCTCGTGTTGACATAAGTTGACAAAACGTCAGTTTCGTCGATGCAATAACTGTCAATTCTTTCTATTGCATGCGCTAAAGAAACAGCCATCGATTGAACCGCAATTATTAAAGAAACCAAAATAATTGCATATGGTTTTATGGCTTCGTCTTTTTACATAATCTTAACATCTCGGAGTAACATTTATAAAATAATGTATGCAAAATTCGCCGGTGGTCGAAGAGTATTTGTTAGCATAGCTTTTAATATTTTCTAACAAATGCGGGCAGCGATTTCGATAGAGGCATTAACATCCAGAAGTTATATCCAAAAATATTTACATCTGATGTATAATGCATTTTACAAGCTTGGTAATCTGTGAGTCACATATTACACTATTCCAGAGACACATGCCAGCAATCTTCTTTAATACGAGTCGCTTTCCAAACTATGAAATCGGGTATTACGTCGTTTTAACAGCGCCATCGAAGGCGTGTTAACCGGATTTTCCTCTCGTAACGTATATCTCGGGATCCGCCTCCGAAAATGTTTTACAACAAAATTCGAGCGTGAAAGTAATGGACGATGACGAACACCGGATGTCGATGTGACGTCATTAGAAACACTAGAAGAACGAAACACGTATAACCAAAGCGATTCTCGACGGTAAGAGGCGCCAAGACAACAGGAACAGAATTCTAACAACTCGGAAACTTGGCGAAAACATCAAGACGAGAGAATACACTTCGTGAAGATAATTTAATGGCACCGACTGTCTTCCCCTCCCTTCAAACTAAGTGGGGGGTTGCTGAGTCGGCTTTGTACTAACTTTCTAACTCGGTACTAGACTCCCGAAAGTCTGGCTAAAACTATAATCGATGAAGTAACCTGTCTTTGTCACAAACTACCCAGGTAATCAACGGATCGTTTCTAGCCACATATAACATGTCTGTTGACATCTTTTCTTTGGAAAACAATCTTTCTGACGAGGTGATAAAAAAGACTTCTTTTTCTTGAAACTAAAATAACTGCTCATTTCATTTGTTATAATCGATAACTTTCTTCCCGTTGACATCCTATCGAAATAAATGGAGTAATTCGACGCTGCAATACTTATTACATAATCAAAGATAGAGGAAATTTCGGAAGAAACATAAATGAAGAAACAGGTTAAAGGAGAATGACGTAGCGAGCAGAAAACACAATAATGTCTCTTTTTCTCCGCGACAATCGACGTAATCAACTCGAAGAAACAAACGATATGAAAATCAGTTAATTATGAAATGCAAAAAAACTTTTTGTAATTTCGGTAATACAAATTAGAAATTTTTATTTCTTGATATTTTAATCAGTCAAGCGTCTCCGTTGCGAGAATATTGCAACGAAAAAGAAATAGTAAGTCGATAATTGCACACTATTCACAATATAGTCACTCTTAAAACTAGAATCGCAAATGGGTTATTTCTGCTGACACCAGCTAACCCTTAATCCTTGCCGAGGATGTTGGTTTAATTATAGAAGTAATTACACACTTTTGTCACTTGAGAGCTTCGGATCGGGGTATGTAATTAGAAACGTACGCATTCATTCGTTTGCAGCGCATTCAGAAGAAGATCGCTTTGGATCTTCGTAAAAGGAATTTTCCTCTAGTTTTGGCGTAAATCCTTTGAAGCGAGACACATCAAAAGAATATTCGTCTATTGATATCCGGTTCTTAAAAGTGTCGGCTTTTAAATTGTTTCTATACACCGAGACGATTTTTTAAAATGAATAATCTGACGTCCGTACTGTACGCGGATGCTGATTAATAGTTTCTCAGTTCAACAAGTTGGTTGCAGCTTCCTCGCAAGAAACAACGGATCGAAAAAAGGATTGCAGTCTCTCATCGACACTCTGCAAATCAAGTTGTATCTGAGAAAAGAAAAGATTTACTCTCGCAGATTGAAAAGTTGTTAAAGCGAAGAAGATGATAGCAACAACTGGCTAACATATTGATTTTTATAGAAAGAAACTAAAGCCGATACAACGACATCTTTTCATAATAACTCTAACTTGTTATGACAGAAAGAAAGGAAGGGAACGGTGTTGATCTTCTTGGATTTTGTCATCTAAGCGTGAGATGGACAAATTATCTCGCTCCCAGACACTCAGACGGCCGCTCCGACACTTTTTGTATATTTAGAGGCACAAAGTGGATTTTTTTTAAATTGAAAAGAATCGAATACCTGACGAGTGAAGTGCGTGTCGCCTTTTCTCCCGATTAAAATCACCTTCGGATGTCGTAAATAATGCGCATCTGTCTTATACATCAATCTGGGATAATTTTTCTTAAAGACTGCAATCAAACTTAAGGAAAGAAGGAGCCGTTTGAATCGGACATTATGAACATAAAAACGCTGCCACGACGCCGGCCGAGAAAATGAAGTGAAAGTAGCTATAGCTGCCGTAATGATCCATCCACCGACAAGAAGGGGGATAATGTAAATTATGGAAATATCTGACTTTACTTCACTTCTACTACGTTAAGGAAGGCGTTCCATTAAATTACACCCAGCAGACGGCCCGCGTCTCGGCGGCTTTGATGGATGACCGGTACTGCCATCTCCTCACCCGCCGAAGAAAAGCCACGTGCGGTCACGTGATTCCTGGATGGGAAAAATGGATCTTTTCTTCTCTTGGCGCCGTTTCAACACATTAGTGCAACAACAATGCCACCGGTTGCTGGTTATAAGAAAAATCAACCCACAAGTTGCACGCGTGGAGAAGTACGATACGGAATGGAGGAAAAAAGCAATCGGACCAAGTAGAAAAAAGTTGTGATACGATTGGTAACACGTGAACTCTGACAACATTGAAGTTTGTACAGTAGGGCAAAGCAACAGGCTATCTGGAGTAACCTAGCAACCCTGTTATCCGGAGCGGCAAGACGGCATCCAGGCGTAGCTAGCCGATCATCTGTACGCATTGGGCTGTGCTCGACACGACTGATGGAAAAATCCATATAGGAAGCCGTAGAAACGTAAGGAACAATGGAAGGAACAAATATCTCGGGGGCGTTCCTTGACAAGAGATGGACATCTTTGGGAGTTTGACAGACAGCTCCTCGCTGCAGTGCGATATCTGACAGTGAATAATCCGGTTGTTCCATTTGTTGTTCGGATTGACTCCATTTTACTTCACTGCCTCTTTCTCCAGAAAAATATAGAATTTTAAAAGCTCCATCAGGTGTAAAGAAAGCTACCAAGAAGTAAAATAAAATTTAAAATCTATAACGAACGACCGGCGACTACGGCGACGACGAGTGTTTTATTTTAATAAACTTTCTTCAAAATTTAAATTTAATTTTTAACCAGAATATTACTTTTTCACTAAGTTTTCTGAGACGAGCAATTTGATGTAAATGTTACTTTGCATCCTAAATTAACCCATCTTATATTTACAGTCAGTCGAGTTATTAGTAAAGAGTCAACTTTTTACTATTTTAATCGCTAAATTCTTTACATTAGAGAATATTTAATTATGCTATGAATTTATATTATTATTAAAATTTAATTACGGGGTAATTGCATTTACTTTTTCTTCCAATGCGCTTAAATATTAAATAAAATTTTTATTTTATTTTTTCATTTTAAAGAATTTTCATTAAAATAAATTGATTTCTAACATAAACGGGTATAAATGCGCGCAGTTCTATTCTCTTTTATATTCTTGACTTTGACTGAGATTAGAAGCATTTCCAGTTTTTAGTTTTCAAACAAAAAGGAAAAAAATGCTAAATTGTTTTTTTAAGCCTTCAAAGAACAAAGAAACTACTCCGCAGATTAACTCGACAACGTCGAAACTAATAAATCGAGAAATTTTAACAAGTGATACGTCATTTATTGTAAAACCAATTCAAGAAAAGAGGAATAAACAAGGGATTATTCGGTTTAACTCTTACAAGATCGTCCGAAGAAGAGAACGGCAAGATCTTGTTTTTTTCCTCTACCACAAGTCATCCCATTCCAATTGGTTGGGTTCAATTTTGCCCCCAAAAACGTCAACACGTGCCTAGTTTCCGACATAATCCGGAAATCAATATGTGTTACTCTTTCGAAAAGTTTCCCAGACGTCGACTTGCCATCCTATAGAAGCACTGAAGTTTATCACCCGTGAAAATTTCCCACAATTCCGCGCCAGTGGAAACAGCGACATGTTGACATGGAACAACCTGCTTTCCAAAACACTTCTCTAACAATTACTACAATGGTTTTCGCCGATGATTTTTATCTCTAGCGTTTACAATTAAACGCCTTTTATTTAAAAAAATAAAAAATAAAAACTGCATAGATCAATGCTCTACATCAAACATGATTAATACATGTTCAATTTTCGAGAAATATTTTTCAATTTTCTTGTAGATAAATCTTTACGGCATCGTTAGACGAGACTCTAAATAAAAATTAACCTATTAATTAACTCTATACTTTAATAGATTATAGGCGTGTCCCACAATTTACGTATGTTATCTTTTGTCAGTTAACAAATAAAATTACGATTATTATACGAAAGAATGATTCTTTTACTAAAGTTTTCCCGATAAAATGAATTATCGGATGTTCTAAACTACAGGAAGCATCGTATTATTCGAAACAAAGTAAAAATTTTTTTTAATATCCGCTCGAATTTTAAAATGCGAGCATTAGAGAAGAATATATTAATTATTTAATTTATTATCTGCCAGAAAAAATGTTTTTTCGATCATTTTAATAAAAACATTTCTGCAAATTTAAAGCAACGAAAGGCCATTACTGTATTAATAATAGAAGCACTTATTTTAATCCTCTGCAGTGCCTACTTAGGTTCATTCCAGTAAAAACAAAGCGCGTAAGTTGCTAACCAAAATATATTGAAATTTTAATGGAAAACAGTTTTTATACACTGGAAACAAGTGAAGGCTTAACAAAAATTAAGATGAATTTCTTATAAAGTAATTAAATTATTAAGAATCTTCCAAACTGATCTAAGAAATAGTCCAGTGTATGGCCATATTATAAGTACTCCTTAAAAAGATTGTAAAATTTTAATCCTAGGGAAATTGGTTTGTGAATAATAGAAATGGCCAGAATTTAAAATTAGCTTAATCTCGGTTTTATTAAAATTTATTGCTATATATATGATCCCGGAGAAAAAAAATATTGTTATAGTTTTGTAAATAAAATTAGGAATAAAATGAATTATAATATATAATAAATACGTAATTTCCTTCCTAGTTAAAATCCCTGCGGTCTTTTCGTAGTAAATCATTTAAAAGTTTTTATAAAGAATCATATTTTAAAGTAGTACTTCTCTCATCCGTGAAATTATGTTGGGAACTGAAACGTAAGTCAATTTAACCGGCGTTTCATGAAAAAGTAATATCTATATCATCTTAAAACTGAATAACCTCTTTCCATTGGTTGCTTTCACTCGGTTCCTCCGCTTTACACATGAAAATATCCAAATGTTCGAATGTTCACTACTTGATTAACACAAATAATATAAAATGTCAAATGGAACTTTTTAATAAGCTAGAGAGAGGGAGGAAATCTGATCTTCTAAACACTCTCTTCTATGATAAAAACGGGAAAAAACAGTCATTAAAAATAAGATAGAGAGGAATTTTTTAATGATTTTATCCAACGGCCAACGTATTAAAATGATAACGTAGGACTATGAAAATAATATAATCATTTCTAAACTATAATTATTATTAAGTGAAGAAAAATTTTGCGACGTAATGATTAAAATCCCATTTTAATACTAGCGATTCATAAATTTAATTATCGAGAATAAATAGCTCTATCTAAGAAATTAATTGATACTTGGGTTAAAATAGCCGCACTTCGCAATGCGAATCTAATACGATTTTCCCAGTTATCTTAGGAGAAAATCTGTTGTTGTTAATGTTATCGTTACAGATAAAACTTCCTGCACTTTTTTATTATACCAATAGCGATTCTACAATTACTAAAAAGCGTTTTCCGAACAGAAGATAAGTTCCATATGGAAAGACAGAAATATACGAAAAACTGTATAAAAATTTACCAATTTACATCGGGGGGTGTATTATGACGTCAGAATGATATTCCGTAAGGTATTTGTCATTCCAGACGATGGCAAATAAGTAAAGAGAATAAATAACTTAGCCATTTTCTTACGCTATAGGAAGACATTACAGAAAAGATTGAGATAAAAAATAAATGGAAGGAGACGGTTTTATAAACGAAGAATAAAGAATTGGACTAAAAATAGAATAATTAAGAAAAGAACGACGAAAAATTTGACTTGTAAATAACGCGAAGTGGATAGTTGGTGCGAGGCTAGAGCATAGCGCAGCGATGGAAGAGACCAGACCTGTAGCTTCTCACGCTATTATCCGTCCCTCCTCCTTCGGGTTTTTTATTCCTTTAGGTCTCCGACACTTCTCACCCCCACTTCAAGACGTCAAACGCACATTTAGACTGGAATTGTCACCCGGGACGACTACGTAACCTGGTAATGACACTTCACCGCGTAGCGCTCGAACGAAAGGAGAAGCCAAACACGCTACTAACTAATATTACCCACCGGCATGCTTAAGAAGCTATTGATAATAAACGCTATGTAATCTAGGGTATCGCACGCTGTCCGCTACTAAGTCCCACCTGGACTCCAGTCAACAAGTAATGACGTCACTTCCTGTCGTGTCCAAAATTCAAAGAAAACAGAGAGATGCCGGATCCGGTGGCGACAACGAGAAGAGAAGAGAAACACACAGGTACAGAGAGTTTTTCAGATACCTTCACTTACACATGGTTTAGATGCTAAGACGACGGCCATGGCTGTGCTTGAGTGTGTGTGCGGGGGACAGGATGTGCTGTAGCACGGAGCGTGCGCCGGCTCCCTCTAGCGGCGCCGTCACGTGACTGGTCGTCATGGCGACAACGGGAGAGAAGACGGATGCTTCGGACGGGCCAAGCCAGGCGGCCAACTAACGAATGCATATTTTACACCGTCTACAACCCTATCCAACGCTTGTAAAATGTCACCGTAAGCCGCAATGCTTTCAGTCCGGGCAAACGCATATATTTCTCCGGAATAGAACAACCATTTCACATTGCCCATATAACGGCAATATTCGGCCCATCCCTTCGAATACTCGGCTACCTTTTTGTAAACAATGATTTTGCTAACAATGAAATCGCCAATCAATAACAACTATCAGCAAAACGAAATGAGGGATTCCACCGTCTTTCAAACGCATTCTAATGACTTTACTTTTTGAGCTTGCTGGTGTTAAAGCCTCTTCAAAAGCTCTCTGGCCGACTAATAAAACAGTAATAAGTTATAAAATATTAATAATATAAAGTTTATTTAACTTCACTATTTATCATATACAAATAAGTTTTTATGAAAATTTTCCGAGATTTCTCTTCAAAATTTATTGTATATTTTAATAAAACATAACGTAGATAAGCTAAAATTTACCAAATCTCATTGAAAATTCATCTTTAAAATAAAACAATTTCTAATAAATTATAAGCAAAGACCGAAAGGCAATTAAATACATTTGTAATAGAGTCACGTCATCGTCTTCGATTATATAAATATGTAATCAAGCGGATCCGGCAATAAAAACAAAAAGCTACGATAAACTCTAATTGCATTATAAAATTTATCATAATAAATAAAATATTAAGAAGTCATTTAATTAGTTTATTTTAATAAACAAACTTACGATCAGAATCGTTAATAAATCAAAGAAATTCGATGATATATTTCATTTTTTTATGGGAAAATTTTCACTTTAAGAAATTCTACTCCATTCTATAATTATCATCTATTGGTCGGCGATAAGAATTAGTGAAATAATAGCTAATTGGTTAATCGTTTTTTAAATAATATTCCTCATAATATAGTAAAAAAGATAAACTTTTTCGCTTCAATATTAATTAATTAAGTAATCGACGAATTGGTTCGTTACGATAAACCCTTTTTAAATACCAAATATGCTTTATATAAGTCTTGTTTACGGGAAAAGTTGTGCGTATTTTAATTGAAATTTTTAAAAAATTAAAGCTAGATAAATTTATCATTATATACACACGAATTAAGTCTAAATGAAAGTTAAACATTTTCAAATTTTAATGAAATGTCCATAAAATTATTTCGAATCGAAGAGGAGTTAATTTAATCGAATGGATTTTAAAATTAATAAATCAACCGTTAAATATTGAAATAAATTTATCGATTAATGTTTTAAATATTAAATATATTTACGAATTCGTTGTGTATATTTTGAAACCTCTTCGTATTTGAAAGTTTTATTCAATTAATTTTAATGACAATTATGTAAATAATTAACAGAAAGATAGAATAAAGTTGTTTAGGGAATAATTAATCCTCACTTCTACTGCTTTACACTCGGAAATAACTTTATAGAGAAGTTTAATTTATACATAATCTGACGACTCGATAAGGGATAAAATGTTTCACTTTTAAAACTTTTGAATAAAATAACTTTTCGAAATTAAAATTTCTTCCGTTTTTCTGTAGCAAAACTATGCACTTTCGATATTAAATAATGTTTCGCAGTCGACTCTCTTATAGTAAAGTCTAAGGAAATGCACAGATAATCCTGTACTTCGATTTTTTTTTCTTTAAACAACAACAAATTTGCAAAAAATTTCTCATCGTTACTATTTTCAAATAACGTTTCGCAGTTGATACTACAAAAATCAAAAAAGATGAAGGAAAATCCATAAAGATTTTTATTCTATGTCCTTCCATGTATGAATTCCAGATGGCAAAACTCATGATATTGGAAAATATCCGTTTCTATGTTTCTGAACCGTACGGATTAAAACTATCGATAAATACTTTAGTGTAAACAACTTTAAGTAAGACATAACAGAAATTTTTATTACAAATATATATTGACTAATTTTAATACATACAAATTTTCGCTAAGAATAATATATATCTGTAAAACGTAAATATAAGAATTTAAGGATAAAAATAGATTTTCTTCGAATATATATATATCTAAAGAAGTTGGTGTGTGAACAGAAATCTGTGGTCAACCAGGCAGAACTGTCTGCAGTTCTTGTTGCTGTATTTGTAATCAGCTGTAAACTGGGACGAATATAGCCGATTCCATCAAATTACAGTCGTGTGGTGAATTGCTCCCCGCTAGGATATTTCGATTTAAGAATATCCCGAACACAACAGTCGATGCAATTCTTACAAAATACTCATTGTTTAATACAAGCTATCGTTGAAATTCATTCGATAAGATAGATACAAATATTAAATCAATTTTAGGACGATCAAATATGTATAATGTTTTGTGCTCGGCCGTAGCTTAATTAATAACTTCGATAAATACTGTACTGTACATCTAATTATTGCTGGAATAATGAGGCACTTTGCATTCAAAATAAATGTGGTCGAAACATAAATATTTTCTCTTTACGAAGAAACCATCATTACGGATATAAAATTAAATAACCTTATAGTTCTGAGGTGAACATAAACACGTGAGATTTCGATTCAACCTCCCTGACGATCAATTGCTGTGAAACGATACGAGGCAAACGGCCAAGCTTCTTATTTAAGCGATACTTCTTATGCAAAGCTTGTAGACATTTACACATTAGAGATTTTGCCGTCGGTATTTAGCCCAAAAAAAGCGGACTCAAAAAGACTGGAGTATCTTCATTCGGTATGTTCCATTTTCTTCACTAGAATGCGGTACTTGTCTCTCTATATAAATAGAGTTTTGTAAACTACACCAACTACAAAACAAACGATAATCCCCAGAAGTAACACAACATCCACTGGAGCGTACAAAGAAAAACACCAACACAAAAAAAAGATTTTAGAATTTCCGGGAATAGCGAACATAGACTACATTTTGTAGACAGTCTCCAATCTTATAGAGCTTCCATACAAACTAGGTTGCTTTTTTCCCTCTCTTCTTTTTCCCTACCCAACCTCTCTTTCTCTATGTTGGGCAGGACAATTCTTTTTCACCATGCGAAGCAGGAAAGCCTCCCCTACTACTGTTGAATTTCCAACAGTATTCTGTATACATCAGCGCCAGACACGCTTTATTCTTTAGAACACTTTAGTCTGCTTGTCAACTGCAAACATGATACATGGAAATGTTAACTGTTAATGATTGACGACGTTGTTCGACAAATACCTCCTTTCGATAGACACGAATGGCAAACCGGCTTAACGAACCTTTAATTTTTAATGTTTGTTAAGCTAGTTTGCCGATTAAAATTTATAACGGAGAAATCGGATAGATAAATTATTTATATCGTGTTGTATACTGTTTTTACTACGGTTGTAAGACTTAGAGAGAGGCATTTTTTTTTCTTTTTTAACCCGACTTCAATCTCATTCTCTTTACCAAGAATAAGCTAGACGATAGAAAATTCCAATGCTGGATTGAAAGGACCAAAAACAAGCCACATCTATTGATTCCCGGATGTTTGAACCCGGCTGTAGAATTAAAGGCGACGTTTACTGGCAACAGCTTTCCACTCGCCGCCTTCTAAATTTTTCTTCAATCAAAACCAATCGCGATCACAAATTACGGAATAAAAAATCCGCTCCTCGATTGCAGCATTTATGAAGCTCTTTCCACTACATCCGTGTTAATAGAGCAGAACTCGATTCTTCTTCCGAATACAAGGAATTTCCTTCCTAGAAATGAGTTTGTTCCTTACAAATGCTTTTTTTTTAACAGCGTATCCTTTCTACTTTCTCATCTAGAACATTTATGAATTCAACACTACGACAGTCGTAGACAAAGAAAGCAGTGTTAATGGTATTCAAAGTACGTGTCCTTTGAAAACGTCTTCTTAAAATAAGTGTTTTTTTTTTACAAATAAAACTTTTTAATAGATCAACGTAATTAAATGCCTGCGAAATTTATTTGACGCCAGATATTTTTGGAGACGAAATGTGGCCAGTGAAGAATTGGAATCCGTTTTGCTAAATATGATTATTTATGTTAGAACGAAATCGAAAATATGGATTTAGAGAAACATTATCTGCAGTAGATACTACCTCGGGTTATTGCACTCGAAAAATATTCTTCAATATTTCCAAAGGCGACAGATCTTGAGAATTTTCAGCCAACAACCAAGCCGGCACCATTGGACGACAGCCAGTGACAAGAAGGTGTCATCTAAGTAAGAATATCGTTTTCTTTAGTGACAGTTTTCGTTTCAAACGGGAATTTGTAGTCCGCAGAGTGTAGAGTACAAGTCAAGTTTTGCAGGTAAAATGTTCTTTTGAGATAGTTATCCTTTGTTTAGCATGTCAGGTGCGTTGTGTGTTCGGTTGTGACATTTAAGAAAATAGTATTTCCCTACTAACGCCTCTTTTATACGTGAAAATGGCTTTGAAAAATAAAATCGCTATAAATATCGACACCTATTTTCAAATTTTTATGGAAATTCTCAAAATTTCTTCATCTATAAAATTTTTAGCTTAAAGAAATTTATTTATTTAAGTGTTTCGGCTATTTTTTTAAATAAGAAGCGATTTACATAAGTTACCGATAACAATAAAACTATTTTTTAAAAAAGCCATTTTTAATCGCTTTCCTTATAATCGTAATATAATCGTAATATACAATTTTTAAATGTTAAGATAAGAAAAGCTTAATTAAAATTTCTATAGACACTTAAAATCAAGTTCATTATTTTAGATAAAAATAATAGCGAGTGAATTGTTCAAAGAAAAGATGGAAAATTTTCAAAGTTTTGTTCTTTATAAATTAGAGAAAACCAAAGTTTAAAACTTGATTATCTCGATAGAATTCCAAGAATATTTCTCACATTTTTCAAAAAAATAAAGAGTATAAATTTTAGAAATCATTAAAAATACTAAAATAATCTTTTTACACTTAAATAATAAATCTAACAGTAAAATTCACGATAAAATCTTCAAAAAAACTCAAATACGAGTGCACTGACAAATGAGTACACTAATCTCAGATATTTTTCAGTTTCCTCGCTTGTACTCGTTGAAAAATTTATTAATTAGACGAGGAAAATTGATAAAGAAATTTGATCGTTACCGATTACAATTCTTCACAAAAAATAATTTAAGTAGCGATCAAAAGAAGTTTAACGTTCACTTCTACGGCTCAGGACTTTATTTTGAACGAGTAGAAGTACTAAACCAATTTTGTTCTGTAACAAAAGGCAGTTCGATTATAATACAGTAATAGAAGAATTGCCAAAGTTTCATCGAAATCGGATCATTTCT